AGAGCAACAGATGATTAAGGGACTGGAGCATCTATCTGATGAGGAAAGGCTAAGCGAGCTGGGCCTATCTAGCCCAGAGAAGAGAAGATTGAGAGGAGATCTGATAAACATGTACAAGTACCTGAGAGGTCAATGTAGGAAGGATGAGGTCAAACTCTTCTCCTTGGTGGCCAGTGACAGGACAAGGGGTAACGGGTGCAAGTTGATACGCAGGAAGTTTCACCTCCATATGAGGAAGAACTTCTCCCCTGTGAGGGTGACAGAGGCCTGGAACAGGCTGCCCAGAGAGGCTGTGGAGTCTCCTTCTCTGGATATCTTCAAAACCCGCCTGGATGCGACCCTGTGCTACAAGCTCCGCGTGTTCCTGCTTGAGCAAGGAGGTTGGACCAGGTGATCTCTAGAGGTCCCTTCCAACTTCAACCATTCTGTGATTCTGTGATTTAATGTGAGAAAGAGAGGGAATACCCTCAATTCCAGCCCTTTACCTCTTAAATTAGGTCTCCTGTGCTCTGAATCGAGGCACTTTATGGAGACAGCTAAAATGTGTGGTGCTTGATACTTGAGGGCGCTGTGGAACTCAGTCTCCACTGTCTTCTCCCTGTTTGCTCATTTGTGCACTGAGGTGGCCAGCCAAGACTGGCCGTTCTAACTAACAGAGAAGAGCAAAGGCTGAAGCCGCTAGAGTTGAAGGCTGGATGATAGTAATGTTGGTAATGGCCTACTTTTCTGGATTTTTTTCCATTAGTTGCATAGGAAGATTTATAGTATGAACTCACCTTTCCCTTCGAATGAGACATAAAACCCTCGAACTCAAACCCATTAGCAATTTTGCTTAGTAGCTTTTATTTTTATTATTTTAAATAGAGCTGTAGGCTGCACTTTTGTATTGCCATCTTATGTGACTAGATGGGATGTGAAATTATGTCCATGGCATATGGGTAGTTGCCGTGTTTATCAAAACATACAAAGCAGCTTTGACCTCTCTGCTGTCTTTTCTTCCCTCTAGGCTATAATTCTAATAAATTAATTTTGGATGTAGCTGAGAAAATAATATATTTTCCTTCTTCATGAATATTTTCTCTCTTCTTCCCTATCATGCAGGGTTTAGATACTATGTACTGAAACTACAGCAGGGCATTCCCTATTTCACATGTGCAAATCAAAGTCCATATCCAGCTACCCGTCTGTCAGTATAAATCAGGTAGATTACGAGCCCAAATGTTCAATTAATTCCACAGGTATAAAATAGGCTTACTCCTTCTCCCGACGAATAAACCCTTGTACGTGCCTCAAATACTGCCGGAGCATGGCCTGGTGGGAGCAGTGCGCTCGTTCTGGTGGGTTTGGGTTTCATAAAATTGCCAAGATTACAAATATGAACTGAAACAGGGATGACTAAACTAAAAGCAATTCCAGAAAAGGCCCTCGGCCACCTCTGTGTGCAGCCAGCCTGCTGTGGGAGCGCGACTGCAGCATTGCTGCCGCCGCGGGGTTTGTGGCCTTAAAACCAAGCAGACAGTGAAATCAACATTTTTCACTTTCTGGTCACATAGTTTTGCCTAACTGCTCTACTTTCAGGTCAAGTGTTTCGGGCCTCAAAAGCTAAAACTTGTCTCACAGCTATGAGAAAAAAGCAACCCAGCTACCCATCAGGGCCCAGGCAAGCGCAGGGAGCTCTGGCCACCTCATCAGTAGGCACCATATCCTGATACAGGTGATATAGAGAGAAAAAAAAAAAAAAAACAGCTCATGGCTGACCTGAGGGAAGATGTTTTCCTGAGGCCAGTAGTGTTGCCCTAGAAAATGTAAGCTACACAAGCGAGTCACTGGAGCGGCTCCCTGCTGCCACTTCAGGGCCCCGCTGTTGAAGAGCCTCTCTGTCACCATGGCCGGGCTACGATGTTTCAGAGCACGGCCACAAAATACCTAAAAGGCAACCTCTGTGTGTGAGATGACAGGGACAAGAATCAGCAGCAGTTCAGATCAGGAAGGTTTGGTATGTAAGGCATACAACTAAGGTATTGATGAATTTGATATTTGAGGCGAGGACAGGTGTCTCTCACTGCCTGTTTGCTAACAGACTCATCGCCGCAGTGTCAGGGCACACTAGGAAAGGATCAGTGTAGCAGCCTCCTTTGCATCCTTGTGAAATGTCCTCTCTCCTAGAGGATCCCTGAGTCCTTGCTTAGAGATAAAAATACCATCCAGTTACGACACCAAAGCCTTTTCATGAGCAGGGCAGCTGCATGTTGAAGATTATGAACTTACGAAAAGAAAATAGGAACTGCATATCCTGGCAAGCCCAAAGCTTCATCTGCCTGGCCCAGATTCTGATTTAATTGTGTGGTTTTGTTGACTGAGAGTGAAATGCCAAGTCAGAGTTAATTGTACGATGCAGGTCGCCAGCGCTCTCCTTAAGTAACTTAAAAACCAAATCCATTATACTGATGAGTCCCTACTGAAAGGAAATAACCAATTTCTTGGCGTGTTTCTATTGACAGCAGTTCTGCTGACAGTCTGCTGCATGAGGAGGAAGAAAAAGACATCTAACCCAGAAAACAATCTGAGCTATTGGAATAATGCTATCACCATGGACTACTTCAACAGGCATGCTGTAGAGCTACCCCGAGAGATCCAGTCCCTGGAGACTTCAGAGGTACCTCATTTGCATGACTAGGGTCCGCAAGATTTAACTGAAGCCACGCTGGGAGAAAGGGAGAGGAAAAAATATTAATAAAGCCTTGAAATCCCCATGCATATTCAGGGAAGCCATTTTTCAAGAAAGACCCGCTCACACAAGTGTGTTATGAGGTCAGCAGAAACTGGCTGTCTCCTGTCCCCAGGCTTTGCAGTTTGCTTTATGTTGCTGCGTGCTCCTGGGCCATGACGTCAGCTGTCGCTACCACTAGTTGATTTTTTCCCCCAGTTTCTCTTCATTTGAGCCTGTGGCCAATGTTTAGCCCTACCACAAACAAGTAGGAGCACTATTTGAACCAACCCATAACTGATAGTTGGTCCTTCTAGCCTCCCCAGTGTGCATGTCCCGCATTGCATTACCTAGCGGAGGCAGTGGCAATTAATAATGTAAAGAAAATTTGTGCACTGACATCTCAGGAGCTGCCTTTAGCTTCTCAAATAACAGTTTGGAGAGTAAGTGTTCCCATTTGATAAAAAATTCAGGACATTAGCCTATGCGTAGTGATATGTGTATACTGGTCACCTTGACAGAAGGGTTCTCCCTGGTTCAGTGGGATAATTCATATATGGGCAGGTGATCTCACTGATGGAAATGTTGTATTATCTGGCCTCAGAGAATTTGGCTTAGTTCAAAGGTGTTTCGAAACTAGAAGCGGTGGATAGTTTGGGCTTCAGCTAAAGATATTTTTAAAAGATCTACTCCCTGACAAACATCTCTGGTTAAATTAGAAAAAATTATGTTCAGAAAGGAGCCTTTGAGAAGTGACTAGACTAGTGAGCTAGACTAGTGCTCACAAACACCTCATTAATTCCACTTTCCTGGCAATCATTTAGCTCAGGCTAAAGGCAGATTCTGGTTTAGGCTTACCCAGAAATAGTTTTCAAATTATTGCCCTACTCACATGTGGGATAGTCTCCAAAAGCTGTCACTTGAGTCATTTTAAACTGATCAGCACATTACTGAACTGGCCTATTCCTCAGATAGCATGGAACCATATATTTGGCTATTTTTGCCCTAAAAAGAAGAAGATGAAAATGCACCTTGGAGAAGTCAAACCCAGCTGCCAAACAGCAAATCGTTGCAGTGCACCATAAGTTGAAAATGTCCAAGTGGTAGAAATAATGGTACATTTTTCACGAGTGTGTGCCCACGACAGAAAGGGTGATGGGGTAGGTCATGCTCATGCTGGTTTTCCATCTCTCTCCCAGGACCACCTCTCGGAGCCGCGCTCCCCAGCCAACGGCGACTACCGGGACAGCGGCATGGTCCTCGTGAACCCCTTCTGTCAAGAAACTCTGTTTGTAGGACATGAGCAAGTGTCTGAAATATGACCCCATAGCTGCCCGTGTATTGCAGTTTCCTCTTGACTCTCTCCAAATTATAAATAAATATATATATTATAAATATAACCTTTGTGTAACCCTGAACTACGAGAAATGTTTTCAGCTTTTTTTTCCCCCCCTCAGAATTGTAACCTCTTTTTTATAAGTGTGGTAAAACTTTACAGAACAAACTGTGGCTTTATAAAATAAAGGTATTTCTAAGCAAAACACCTGTCAAATGGGTTATTTTTCTTAACTTCATCTGCTGCTGAATATCCTCAATCGATAAAAATATTCACTGCAGCTGGTTTCGATGTGGGCAGTGTTTGGTGCAGCGTCCTGCAATGGCTTAGCAGCCATCTGAAGCTACGTGACCTCTCTCAACGTGTCTGTGAGTGTTCCTACTCCATGACCCTCCCTTACCTACACCTCTTTTACTGTGAAATTACCTAGGTTGTGATCTGGCAATCACGTGGCAGTTACGTGAGCAGGTATCCACTGCGTGATTCCAGCACTGGCTGGGATGGGCCTTCCTGCGTCTCCCTCCCACTTAGGCCCAACTGGGATCCTCAAACTCCATGGAGGCAGAGCAGAGGGCAGCCTACGGAGGCAGGGAGGCAGTTGCTGTGCTCCAAACAAACCAAATGCACCCATGGAATTCAGGACCACACAGGACATGGGCACATCTGTCCAGGTAATACTGTTGCTTTTAGATATTAACTTCCAAAGACTTAGACGGGAGTCCCAAGTTCCTTCGCCAGTGGTGTCTGCAGAGTGAGGACCAGTGACCTCCCTTTTGCCTCCACGAAGGTCCTAACCATTGCGCTTTGGATTCACAGCTGCTGCGCTCCAGCCCAATGAGTCTTGAATTATTTCCTGCAAAGTAAAGAGCCTGAGCGGAAGGGGCATAGAGTGTCCCCTTCCAAGCGACACAAGTATCTCCTCAGTTTATCAGAGGAGCTTGAAATTTGTTGATTAGGAACTTCTACCTTGTATGCTTAGACTGCTAGTGCCTTTGAATCTCGACTCCTTACACTCCCTCTCTTTTCTAAGGCTTTCCTTCCTGTCTTAGGGATGAAAACACAATGTTTAGAGCAAAACGGTGCTTCAGTGCTCCCCAGCTGAGGGATAGATTGCATGCTGCAGTGGTGTTATGGGAACTGTAAGGGTAAATGAAGCTTAAATAGTGGAATAAAAATAGGCTCTTACAGGTGGAGAATAACATGGACCGTGGAGTGGCATTGCCTAAGCTGATGTTCTCTCTTTGAGTAATCCAGTAGGGTTACTGGCGGACCAATTCTCAGTTTTGCTTCTGAGATTTCCTGCTCTGTGCTGCTCACCAACTGAAACAGCCTTTGTCCTTGGAGATCTCAATGAGGAACAGGCAATGAGACAGCAGGGTATTAACCCCACGCTCCCGCTGACCGCTTCGTGCCCCGTGCTGCTCAGGTTGATTGGCTCTTTGTGTCCAAGGGAAGCAGAGCATCGTTAAACATATGCCTTGTTTGAGGGCTGATAAAGGAAAAGGGGAATTACGACCATAGCACACCTGGTCCAGCTGTTCTCACCTGCAGAAACGTCCCAGTGGCTGTGGGTAGTCAAGAGTAACCTGAAAGCTTTACTAACTAGCTGTAATTTGACAGACATGTGGCCAACCCTGGGACCCCATGGCCACAGAGATCTTTACCCCCATCTCCTTTTTCTCTCCCACACAAACACTGCTGCACTGAGGCATCAATCCGACTGCCAGATTGATTCATCTGATATTTTAGATTTTTGGTTTTCTGTTCTGCATCAAAGAGTAATGCATTACGTCCCTAAAAGGTGGCTAGGGAGATGTTAAGATGTGGCTGTATGTGGACATGGATGGGCACTTTGGGAATACAGCTAGTCTCTTCACAGTGGGATACAAGCTGTGAATGTTACCTATGGTCCTCATGGTCAAGTACTAAACAGTCTCCTGAAAATGCTATTTCACTTACAGAATAAAAACTTCCTGAGTGTCTGGCCAAGAGACGACCCATAGGACAACCTTCATCTTCCAATTCTGTGTACCTTAACAGGGAGGTAGAAAGGGAGAATGACAGGACAAAGAGTGAAACTCAGTTCCTTTGGGAGGAAATTGGTATTTTTAGGTGCTATTTTCAGTAGCAGGTACTGCTTTTGCAAGGCAGATTTCTTTTTTGCTTGACACAGAGCAAATATACTAAAGGTCTCACATAAGAAATACTGGAGGACTCCTCTCATTTTGCTGGTACAGTTTACTTGGTAGCCTAAATTCAGGATGCCTAGAAATCAACCGAAAACATTTGCAAAGCTGTGAGACCCCATGTCATTCCTGGGCTTCCCACACATGGGAAATGATGCCCTGATTGCGGCCACAGTCCTCAGGCTAGCAAGCCGAACCTGGCCACCAGGCTCAGGCGCACCTGGAGCAAAGGAATTTCTGATCCTAGTCTGTGTCACCAGGGTCTCAGCTGATCGCCCCTAAACAAATCAACACATTAGGTCAGTGCTCAACATCAGCACCTTACAGGCGTGCCTGCAAAGACGCTCATACGTTAATCCTGACCCGGGACGATTGCGACGTCGGAGCTGTGAAGCACCTGTTGACTTAGGTGTAGCCATGCAGAAAACAACAAGTCATCCAAACAGGGAGAGTGCAGTTAAGTCTCCCTCTGGATCATGTCCCCTTCCACTCAAACACGTCCAAACCACACATTTATTTACTGCACAGCACTGACATAGAAAGAAGAGCAGAGAAGATCTCTCCCGGCCCCCACACAAAGCCTGGGGAGTTGCTCCACTTCGCTCGTCCAGCTGGGCCTGACGCCTCTGTTGCCCTGTTGGGCAGCCAGAGGGAAATGAGCCCTTGCCTGGCAGACCAGGTGCCATCTGTAGGTGATGTTAAACAGCATGTGGAGAAGTAGGTGGGAGAGCTGAGAGGCTGCTGGGGTTACAGCGGTGCCTCAGCGTGGGTGATGGAGTCAAAGCACAAAGAAATCGTGCAGTCCAGGAGGGGATGAGGGACGGTTGCAGGCTTGGAAAAGCCAGCAGGGACCAGTCACCTGCTTGAAAGTTTAATTTTTGTTAACCTTAAGTGACGCTTTGCTGCAAGGGGTTGTGTCCAGAGCAAGCGCAGGTGCGAGCAGCTAATGCGTTTGTAGTGCGTGTATAGGCACATGGGGCTGTAAGGATGGGAAATCATCTGGCTGCCAGAGTGGAAAGCACTGGTGGGTATTTCAGCGCGATGAATTCCTGTCCCGCAGTCCCTGTAAACACCATTGTGCTTTTCATGGGCCACATTTGCAGCAGCAGCAGCAGGGAGATTTCTCCTGAAATGGAGTGCTGACGGCGCGGAACGGCGCGCACAATGCGGCGGCCGCCGG